TTTCTACCAAACCTGGCTGCTTAACGCCACCCTCAGGTCCCAGCAACCTTCCCTTTGGTGGTGATGGGATTCGTCTTTCCCAATGTCCTGATGGCTTTGGTCTGGAGTAGGGGTGGGGTCCACAAAGCCTGCAAGGAATTAGCTTTAGGACATCCTTTTTCCCCTAACAAAATGATGTTTGATATGATTTCTGTTTAGTAGGTAATTGGTTCCTAAGATTAATTGAGGACCCATGATATCCAGGACACCAGGAAACACCTGCAGGGGGCCAATAAAACAACAGCAGGGGAGAGCCTGCACTGTGGACTGTAGGTGGAGGAGGAGATTGACTTTCAAATCCCCCAGGCAGATACTGGCACCTCATTAGCATTGTCGTCTTAAACCCCCTTGCAGGGAAATGGCAGCCACGCCACAACAGTTCCACTGACTGCCGAATAAGGACTACATCTTCCCTCTCCAACCAAGGGGCGGGGCATGGATTCAGATTGGATGGCCCCTGCACCCCATATATTCCAAGGATCCCTCCCTATTCTGTGCAGTTGTTCTGCCATGGAAACTGCCTTCTCAGACCCCTCCCTAGTGCACTATTGCTAAATAAATTGCCGTCTTGCCTCACCTGGATGTGGCTTTGAATTTTTTCTTGGCTTAGTCAAGAAGTGAATACCCCTCGACCTGACATCTCAACTCTCATAAGTTTATTGAAACTTGTTTTGTATATCAGCACACGGGCTATCCTTGAAAATGTTCCATGAACACTTGAAAATAACGTTGTTTTCGGTGTAATTCTTTGTAAATATCCATTAGGTCCAGCTCACCTAATTTGTTAGTTAAGGACATTGTTGCCTTGTTTTTCTGTGTGCTTGGCCTGTCCACGTCTGTCAATGGGGCGGTAAAGTTCTCTACTATTGTGTTGCTGTCAAGGTCTTCCTTTAGGTCTGCTAACATTTGCATTATATTTTCTTGTGCTGTGTTGGGTGTGTGTGTGTGTGTGTGTGTGTGTGTGTGTGTGTGTGTGTGTGTGTGCATGCATGCTTGTCTTTCTGTTGTATCAATTTGCTTATCATTGCCATCATTTTCTTGTTAACCTCTTTTTATTGTGGTTGCTGCCGTTGTGCTGCACCGTTGTGTTGGACTTTTTTCCTCCCCTTCACGTTAAGTCTATATTGTATTCCGTGCTTACATGAGACTCTTAGCTGGGTTTTCTGTTTCTAATCTTTCCAACCAATTTGCCTTTTGATTGGTGGATTCAGCCCTTTTACATGTAACATGATCATTTGATACTCAGGTACTCACTACTGCCCATTTCTGGTTTGCTTTCTGCTTCTGTTTATCACTTTGTTCAATATTTTTGTGAATTTTCCTTTCAGAATTTCTTCTAAGGGGGGTTTAGTGGTGGTGAACTCCTTCGGCTTTTATTTTTCTGGGGAGGTGTTTATTTCGCCACCATATTTGAAAGAGAATTTTGCCAGATAGAGCATTCTTGACTGGTAGTTTTTATCCTTAAGGATTTTGAATGTCCTGCCACTTCTCCTGGCCTGGAGATTTTTTTTTCCTGAGTGATCTGATGGTAATCTGAAGGTGGTACTTTTGTTACTTGCTTTTCCTTCTTAGCTGCCTTCACTATTCATTCTTGGGCTTGGACTTTTGATAATTTCCCTAATGTCTTGTTGTGGGTCTCTTTTCATTTAAGTAATTACCTGTTGTATTAGCAGCTTTGACTTGTATATTCAGGTCCTTCTTCAGGCGTGGGCAGGTCCCAGTTATTATTTCTATGATTAAGGTCTCTGTTCACCTTTCCGTCTCTCCTGGGATAACCATTATGGCACCTTTCCTAATAGGTTTGGATAATTGTAATATTTCTTCGTCTTTTTAAACTTACATTTCACTCTTCTTCCACCTGAATCACTCCTAGCTTTTATCTTCAAACTCGTTAATTTGTTTGTTAGGTCTCTGTTACTCCCGCAATTTTCTGTAGTACTCTCGATCTCATTTGTTGAGTTCTTCACATTCTGAATCTGTTAGTTTATTTACAACTTTAGTCTCTACCTACTTTTCATTAAGCTAATTACTGAGCTCATTGTTTTTCTGAGTTTTCTTGTGTGTCTCTGAGTTTCTTTGTGGTGTCTAGAATTCATTATCCATTGGATCATAGTAGTCTAGGTTTTGTTTCTAGAGAACGTTTTCTCCTGTCATGTCATTTTACATTGAAGTGTCAGATTGGTGACATATTCCTCTGCCTTCCCATTAAACTAGAGTACAATCTCTGAGAGAATTTCTTGCTTTTTTCGGTAATAAAATCTAGATCAGTAACTTAAAACTTGAGCTGCATGTATTTTTCTTTTCCAGCAGGTGGTGCTATGGCTTTATTTGATTTTTTTTTGGTTACTGCTGGCTTCTGTATCTGCTTTGGGAAACCTGGAGATGGTGGATAAGCTGCTGTTGTGCCCATGGGGGAGGAAGGAATTTGGAGGGGGCCAGCTCCTATTGTGGATGTGCTGGTTCAAGTCTGTGGCCCCCACTGTTACCCTTCCCTTTAGAGAGGAGGCACTCTGAAGTTCTCCCTCCCTCAGGGCCTTTGGACAGCACTGCCATCTTTGTCCCCCACCCACCACCACCCAGACTGCCAACACCCCCACTCCATCACCTTGCACTTACAGATGCCTGGATCTCCATGATATCCGTTCTGGTGTAGTCTGTGTTGGTTTCCGAGGTGTAGAGCATGCTTCAGCCACACCCCAGCAAGGGTGATATTGTTCCTTAATAGTTGTTCCTTTTATGAGGAAGAACAGAGCATGAAACCTCCTTTGTTGCTTTCTTGGTGATGGTCACCTATATATTTTGTACTCATCTCTTTGACTTCTTTTATTGATAGCAGCATTTTATCACATCACTTCCTTTTTAATGTTCCATCTTTCCTCCCTTCTCTAATTGCATTGGCCTGTGCTTCCAGAACAGTGTTTGTTGATATTAGGGGTCTTAGTATAGAGAATGCTATCAGTGTTTTCACACTAACCATTGCACTGACTTTTTTACTGAGAAAAATGTATTTTGTCATGTTGGGTAATTTTCAAGCATTTCATACTTATTTTGAGGATACTGAATTTAGTTGAATGCCTTGTTAGTGTCTAGGGGGTGTGATGATATATTTCTAGATTATTATTCATGAGTGATTATGATTTTTATATATACAAAAATCAAGGATCTTCGGCACTATTATAACTTATTCTCTGTAGTATAGGAACCTTGTCTTTGGCATTCACTGCAGCTTCTAGAACAGTGCCTGGCATGTGAAAAGTGTGCAGTAATTTTTTTTCAGTCTTTCCTTTCTTTGAGAAGCTGATGTTGATATGAAAATATAATACCCAGACTTACTAAAAAGGTGAATTTCAGGAGGGTGATTCTTTGCATTTTATTAAATTTTGTTTTCCGTTATAAAAGGTTTCATCGAGTTCTTTCATATGACACACACTTCTTAGTGAATTTTAAGTATAGATTTACAGGTAAAATAAATCACTGAAGAGAATTAAAAACTCTTTTTTGTATATTGTATTAAATATGGCAACACATGAATAAGTCCATTTTTCACTTCATAGAAAGTATGGACAAAGTATTAAACCTTAGTAAATGCCTTTTTAAAGATACAGTGTTTCTGTATGAAATATATATTCATTATACTTATCACCTAGACAAGAAAGTAGGGATCCCTTGAAATTTTTCTCTACTTAGTCTGAAATTCCATAAATTGTGAAGGTTTGTAAAGAGAAATTGTATTGGAGGCAGGGGTGAACTCTTAATGCCTTACTCCTTAAATCTGTTCTGACTAATTCAACCTTTCTTATCACATTTCTTGAGGGATTGGCCTTAGATGCTTTAATGTTTGAGAATTTCTGAAAATCCTAATAAATCTTCTGAGATTAGTTGAAATAAGATATCTCCTTAATTTGTAAACCATTACATACAGGAAATTTGGAAGTGCGAGTAAAGGAGAAAATGAATTATTTAAGCTTATATTCCATTACATCTTTCATCAATTATGTTTAAGCTTTTCCAGTCTTTTCCTCATGTTTATGGTTTTATCTACTTGTAATGATAGTATGTCCTACTTTCTTTGAACATTATACATGCAGTTTTTGTTTACATTCCTCTCTCATCTGTTTAGGAAAGGAAAAAGGTATGAAATGAGGTTTAGAAAAATTGGACTAATCTAAAAAGTAGTGTCTTGGTCCCCAAGATAAGCAGACAGGTGATGTCTTATAATGAAAGGAAACAGTGTAAACATTGAATCTAAAATCATCCTAGTATTATACTTGAAGTGTAGGAATAAAAATGTCAGCAAGTCACAAAAGGTATATAAGTTCTAAAAAGTCCATTTCTATTTATCTGATTTTATCATGTCAATATGTAATTTTGGCTTCTCTTAATAAAACTAAGTTAAAAACATGTAAGCTTCTGAGATAGGTATGATCATAGCTGTTACTTATAAATAATGGTGTTCAAGTAGAGATTGACTTACTCCTGTTTTCTTTTTAAAGTAAAATTTTGGTTACATCCTAATGCCTTGTACATCTTAATTATTGTATTGCTAAGGTATTTTGAATTAGTTTGCAGTAGCAGAAGCATACTTTTCTGTTGCTGAAAAGTCCTGATTTTTGCTTTTTTTTAATTGCATTTTTAACTTCCTGGTTGAAATTAGCTTGCAGCCTTTTATAGTTTTAAGTAATAGTATATTTGTGCGTTCTTTGAAGTTATAGTGTCCCTCAAAATTAGAGGGGAAAAGAATTTCAACTTGTCAGAGGAACCCTTTGCTCTAGGTCTGTTTTGCAAACTGGAATAGCATGCCAAAGAACTAATAAATGAGTAGGTACTACTCTGAAATTTTAAAAATTGTGCTTGGTTGGTAAAAACAGTCTGCTTTTATGCAGTGCTTTTTAAAAAAGGTGCTTTGTTTTTGGCTAGCGTTACTTATGGAAAATCTTGATTTATTTTGTTTTGTTTGATAGCTGCCAAATGGTGTCACTTACCATACTGGAACATATCAAGACCGGTTAGCCAAGCTACAGGATCATCTTCGCCAACTTTCTATTCTCTTCAGGAAGCTGAGATTGGTGTATGACAAATGTAACGAAAACTGTGGTGGGATGGATCCCATTCCAGTAGAGGCAAGTTAATGGGAGGTGGCAGATGAATATAAGATATATCTCAATCGATTTGTGATTCCCTCCCATTTTACATTCTTAATTTTTCTTTGGCTAATGAAGAGGAATACATACACACAAACACAAAATTAGTTGGGTAGCTGGGTTTTATCCTGTTAATATTTATATACTTTATCATCCAGATTCCTAATGATTATTGTTGGGAGGAGAAAGGGGGTTTCCTATGGCAATTTTTTGCTATATCTGCCAGTGTCCTTGTCATTAAGTCAGTGTAGGAGTTTTAAGAGTAGTAAGACACTTTACACATAAGATTAATCAACTAGGTATATATTTTTATAGGTGGCCCTTTTCTGCTGTTGACAAGATATATTTTTGCTACCAAGAGTATCTAGAAAAATGTTCTCTCACTGCATATAAAGAACAGCTTCATGTGATCAAGGCATCCTATTTGATCAACATGTAAGGGTATGAACAGAAAGAGTAAACTGCAAAACCAGAAAGATGTGGGAGAAAGATCAGAAAAGTGGCGGCTATTGTTTTTTCCTTCCAATTGGAAAAAAAACAAAACATGTTTAGAAAAAAAGTAGGCAGAGATTGGGGGAAGAGGAGATAAATAATGCAGTCAGGAGGTCAAAGAATCACACAGAAAAGGAGACCAGGAGGAAGGACAGTTCTGCACCAACAGAGGAAAGAAAGCAAGGGTGGGTGTGGAAATCAGTAAATTTATATTTGTTCCATGCACTTGAAGTTTGGTCAGCTACCTCTTGGTTTACCTCTGTCCTATTCCTGCACTGTAATAAAAATGGTAGAGATTAGATGATTCTTGAAGTCTGTCATAATCAAACGCGCAGACCTCTCCTGCCACGGCCGCTGCTCCCCTCAGCAGTGTACCTCGGTCCTTCTGCCTGTTCTGCTCCCCGCTCTGGCTCTGGTGAATTCTCTCACCCTCCCACGCTTCTGACTATACCCAGTGCTTGTATAAATAAATCTTAAAAAAAAAAAAAAAGGAAACTTCAAATTTCATTAATAACTGCACATATAATTGTGCTGAAACTTTCATTACTATATCAATTGAAGTCTTTCTCCTACAAAACCTTTTCCTAACTAAAAAGACAATTTAGAAGTTTTCGTGTCCATTACAGTTCTAGATGGCAAATAAATGACCTTTATATAATGCACATTCATCGTTCTAGGAAAGATGAAAAAAAGCCTGTTCTGTCTCAACAAACTAAAACTTGTTGGGGCAGGACTTTTGTGGTATCTCACCCATTTTCTGGCAATTAAATATTTGAGTGAGTAGGATATTACTTAGTTGTATGAGACAACTAAAGGATTATTTTGCACAAGAAATTTCAGCAGCTAATGCATGCAGTGCATTGAAAAAATAAACTTCTAATGCTGTCATTTCAGATCACCTGAATTAAATATGGTTGATTTTTATGATTTAACTTTTGTTTGTTGCTCCCAGCAACTTATTCCATATGTGGAAGAAGATGGCTCAAAGAATGATGACCGGGGTGGCCCACCTCGTTTTGCAAGTGAAGAAAGGCGAGAAATTGCTGAAGTAAATAAGGTGAGTTAGTTGTACATCTTTATATCAAAAATACTGATAAGTTATAAGCAAATCTTAACTGGAGGTATAGAATTACACGAGGTTGTTTCTGTAGCAAATGTATGAACATTGAACTAAAATGTGAGTAGAAATGCCCTGTGGATAGTCAGAAGGGAGCTCACAGAACCCATACAGTAAAACTTCACAGGCGTTCAGTCATAATCCATTTATTTTCTTTTCCTAGACAGATTTCTAGCCCATAGCATAGTTGGGGCAGCAAGTGAAAAAATTTATAAATAGGAAACATGAATGTTTCGGTACCTGAATAAGAAATTAACTTAAGGGCCTCCCCTGGTGGTGCAGCGGTTGAGCGCTGGGCTGCAAGGCTGCCCGCAGCCTCTGCAGCGCCGGTTCGTTCCCTGGCCACCGGCGAGGGTCCCACAAAAAAAAATAAATAAAATAAATTAAAAAAAAAGAAAAGAAACTTACAAGATGTTTAGATATTTCTCATAAAAACAGGTACTCACAGTCCACCCCAGCCAAAGAAGGTGTCCTGAAGTAGACGAGGGCAATTCAGTTCATGAATATAGAAGTCGTTTAATAGCACACTTAAAATTTGATGAGATAGTAACAGGCATAAAATATCTTACACCACTATGTTTAATTTTAGAGGTTCTAGCCAGTACAAAAAAGACAAACAAGAAATAAACTTTAGAAAACAGATAATTATGTACAAACTGATAGGACAGTCTTTAAGAGTTAAAAGGGTATTATGCAGGATTGGTTTATAGTATAAGATAATGGTATTAGTTACATTATAAGGTCCTATTTATAACTGCAGCAATATTATAGTAGGAACTGATGAAAGAATATATGTATAAACTTCTCATGAAGGTGATAGACTGGTACTACAAGACTAAGTCTGAATAGTAATTCTCTTGAAAATACACATAGTGTAATGCAATACTAATCTAAAGAATATTGAAAATATGGGCCTCCCTGGTGGCGCAGCGGTTGAGCGCTGGGTTGTGAAGCTGCCCGCAGCCTCTGCAGCGCCGGTTCGCTCCCTGGCCACCGCAGGAGGGTCCCACATGGCGCTCAGACCTCTCCTGTCGTCCGCTGCTCCCCTCAGCAGTGTACTTCCGTCCTTCTGCCTGCTCTGCTCCCCGCTCTGGCTCTGGTGAATTCTCTCACCCTCCCGCGCTTCTGACTGTACCCAGTGCTTGTATAAATAAATAAATAAATAAATCTTTAAAAAAAAAAAATATTGAAAATATGCTAAAATATCAAGAACCACTACTTTTACTTTCTAAAGCAGGTGAGTAAAATCACAAAAATGGTCTTCCAGTCATGAGAATTTAATACTATAGAAGAGGAGTTATGGAGAATTATTCTTTTACATTACACAATGTATTGAAATGAATTTCAGAGTTGAAAAATAAGAGCTGATATTGGAGTTGCAGCTTCCTAGGTATTATGTGAAATGTAACACAAAATGCAGGGAGAGGCCAGAAAGTTAGTAAGCCACTCCAGATTGGTGAGTGGCAAGACCAAGTAGTTTTCTGCACCCACCAAACAGTAGAAAACAGAGGCCAGAGCTGGGTTCTGTCACATGTACTACCCAGGTAGTCTCATTACCACAATACTGTTTCAAGGCCAAGTCCTTAGAGCAGATTCTGGGAGCAAAAAAGTTCAGCAGGATACACATTCCAAGGACAAAGGGCGAGGAGCCTCCAATTGTCTGGATCATCCAGCCATTGCATCCTCTTGATGACCTTCTCAAATACCTGCAAAATAAAATAATTTGTACTTTTATTTAAAAGTCATAAACCTAAGAATATTTACAGCAAATTTTATGGATGATTAAAAATGTACAGTAGGAAATTGGTAGGGGATGAGCAGGGGACTGGGAACTTGATTATTCTTGCAGATCTAAATTGACACATTCAATTCTCTGTAATAAGTGTATTTCATCAGTCTGCCTGTTCTGTTCCCCGCTCTGTCTCTGGTGGGTCCTCTCACCCTCCCATGCATCTGGCCTGTATCCCTGGGATTTGGGGCAGGACACAGACAGGACACTTCCTTAGTCACCTATTCATGAGGAGTGAGAGTGATGGCTCAGGGCCCTTATCCCTTCCTTGGTTTTCCTCTCCAGGCCTCCCCTGCTGCCTGAGTTCGTACCCGCCGCTCATTTCCATGGAGAATCGGGTCTGTTCTCAGTGGCATCCAAGAGTCACCTGGGGATGGTTTACTCCTCCTGCTAAGACAATTACTGCTCCCCTTCTAATTTTCATCTTAAAAGTTTACCACCTTGCATCTCAGCTTTGTGCTACATGCTAATCGTTTTTCTAAGCCTTTTCCCTCTCCAGGCTTTTTTTTTTTTTTTTTAAGATCTTTGAGAATCAGACATTTGAGAACGCTTCCATTTAATAAAATCTATTCAGTTTTTTGCTGTTACTAACTTTGTGGCATAACCAAAGTAGATTTTACCCCAAGAGGAAAGACTTCATTTAGATTTTTAAAATATTTCAAAACTTAGCTTGTATTTCTATGGAAATTTTGTATTGTTTTTTTTTTTTTTTTTTTTTTTCTTTTTTTTTTTTCATCTAGAGGGGAAGTAGCCATTTGATGGCCCCATTGCTTTCACTTTTTAACTATTGTTACTGTATTTTAAGGTAGGTCTACAGAACTAGTAAGGTAAACAATGGTTAACTCAAATTGAAATCCCCCTAGAAAGAGGGCAGAATAGTTATCTAACAGTTACTGTTAAGTTATAGATGGAAAGTGCAAAATTGGATAATATGATCAATTGACATTGTTTTTTACTTTAAAAAAAAAATTATACAAGAATCAGGGTACAGGCCAGATGCATGGGAGGGTGAGAGGACCCACCAGAGACAGAGTGGGGAACAGAACAGGCAGACCGATGAAATACACTGCTGAGGGGAGCAGTGGGCACGACAGGAGAGGTCTGCCGTGCCATGTGGGACCCTCGCTGGCCGGCCGGGATTGAACCGGCACTGCAGAGGCTGAGGACAGCTTCGCAGTGCGGCGTTCAACTGCCTGCGCCACCAGGGGAGGCCCTGTTTTCTACCTTAGTGGCACACACATACACTGGTGTTTGGGAAAAATATAAAAGATTGTTAAATTTATATTCCTTTTGTCTATTTTGAGTTTCATTTTACAATTTTTTTTTTTAAATACATTTGTATGGTGGTGGTAAGAGTGTTTAATGTTCACAACAGCTTCAGAAGGATTGTTAGATTTTTTTTTTCTTTTGTAGTCTTTTAGGAAGCCTTGTTTTTTCTTAGAATATTAAAATATTCAGATATTTGTGTACCAGCTCCGTGCCACACACTGAGTGCAGGTATGTCTGCCATCATGCACATTTCACACACATGGTTAGTTTCTTCTTGGAGGACAAAAGACTAATGAAAACAAAACCATTAGGCCTTTTTAAATATATTAGCATGTGCTTATATTAAGTGATTAAATTGCTTTATGAACTTACATAATCAGTAATAGTTATCCTAGTCTTTTCTAAAACATTTCCATCTCATGTACTTGGAAATTGTACAGAACAGCCAGTACCTACCATAGTGGCATAAAATGTTTTATCACATGGATGGAGCTGGAAGGGCTTATCCTAAGTGAAGTCAAAAGGAGAAAGGAAAACACCAGATGATCTTGTATGTGGAATATAGAGAAACCAAACAAAGGGTCAGACAGAGAAACTTCAGTCCTTGCACATTGACTATAGATCTGAGGTGTTGGGGAAGAACATACGGGACTGTGGAAGCAGACTACGGGTGTTATAGTGGTGGGAGAGCCACGTAACCATACCTGAGGGAAGAAATCCTATGCTGTCAAAATATTAAGGATATAAAACAATAAAAATGTATTAACAGTATTTCATGTAAATCATCAGATGACAGAAAATAGCCAAGTTTTAGAGTTTTGACTTAACTACTTTTCATATCTTGGAATGCATAACCCTGATACATAAGAATGAACGTTTGAGATATGTTGTGAGAACATCAGAATGACTTTTTTGCTTAAGATTATTCTGTTGACATGAAATAAAAAGGTATATGGGTAGTTTTTACAAGGTTGACATAATTGAGTCTATGCACTCTGACCCAATTGTTACAGCCTTTATATGAATATTAAATTACATGGTATATCTTAGCATAAATAAAGTATCTACTTACATATTCACCTGTTAATGTAACAAATCAGCCACAGCTGATGGATTTTGATAATAGCAGCTGTCAACCTCTGTTAAAATCAATCAGTAGCAAGATTGTATATATTAAGTCTTGTATCATGTCATGAAAATTTATTTACAATTTAACCACTCATAAGCATAACTGTCAGCTTTGCTGTTGATAGTTTTCATGATGTGTTTTGGCTTTAGATAATTTAACTTTGAAAAACGAAGGAAAAATCTCCAAATGCCCTATAATTTTTTTAAGATTATTTATGCAAGAACCGGGGTACAGGCCAGATGTGTGGGATGGTGAGAGGATTCACCAAAGACAGAGCAGGGAACAGAACAGGCAGACTGATGAAATACACGGCTGAGGGGAGCAGCAGGTGGGACAGGAGAGGTCTGCTGTGCCATGTGGGATTCTCGCCAGCCGGCCGGGATTGAACTCAGCGCTGCAGAGCCTGCGGACAGCTTCACAGCGCTGCGCTCAACCACCTGCGCCTCCGGAGGAGGCCCAATGCCTTATATTAAAGTTTTTTACTATTGCCTAGAACTGACTGTTACCTTGAAACTCTATAATTTAGCTCACTATTTAAGAATGAGACCAATTTTAACACGTCAGAACTTAGATTTCTAAATGATACCAAATGGGATTTTTGGTATTTTATCATTTCTCACCTTAGTTGTCTGGGCCCACTTGGTTAGATACTTAATTGCTTAAATAACTGTGACAACTGAACTTGGAAAACTGAACAAGAAGATTGCATAACTAAAGTACCAACAGTATCTTTTACTCAATAAAAACTAAGCTTTAGATTCATGTCCTATGTATTATATAGTTAATCTTTTCAAGTATGGATTACATTTAAGATTATTATAGTCTCTAAAGCAGCCCTTTTATTTCTCTAACTAAAATGAACAACTTTTTTATTTCATTAAAAGGAATCTGGGCTGTTCACATCTCTATAATGAACATGTACTGCTCTATGTGGAGATATTTTAATATAGCATCCTTAAATAGTTCAAGTATGTTTTCAAAGGTTATTGAATAATGATTACTATAATAGCTAGGAAACACTGAGCAGAGGTTCTCTATTTTTGTCTTGTTTTACATTTGCCAGACATGATTTGAAGAGCATGGTTTATAAACTCAGTAAATAAGCATCCTTAGAAACCTGGATGTAAATATCCAGTCTTAGTTGTGGAGATTGTGCCATTTGTCTTCAGTGTTCAGATCTGCCCCATTGTTGAAAGACCAGTTGCATCAGGAATTGCATTTTTATTGTAATTCTCTATTGGCAGTTCATTTCATGCCTACCAGTAACATTTGTTGAATGCTGATTTACCTCGTAGATTTTTTTTTTATAGAGGTGGGGTACAGGCCAGAGTTGTGGAGGATGAGAGGATCCACCTGAGATAGAGCGGGGAGCAGAGCAGGCAGGCTGAAATGCACTGCTGAAGGGAGCAGCGGGAGAGACAGGAGAGGTCTGCCACACCATGTGGGTATGGCTGGCCCAGCCGGCCAGGTTCCATGGCCAGGAACGGAACCTGGCCGGCAGGGAATAGAACCGGCACTGTAGAGGCTGCCGACAGCTTCTCTGTCCTGCCGGGAATCGAACCGGCGCGGCAGAGGCTGCCGACAGCTTCACTAGCGCTGCGCTCAACCCGCTGTGCCACCGGGTGAGGCCCCTGCCTAGCCAGTTTTAATGCTTTATGTGGAAACTGAAGCAAAGAGGTTAATTTGACCAACCTCTAGTTAATGAAGGAACTGAGTAAACCTGCTTCAGAAGTTGTGCTCCACCACTTCTTGGAAAGCCTCTCTGCTTAGCAGAGGCTGGAGCCAAAGGCCCCCTCAGTGGGCCAAGTTAGAATTCTTTATGCCTTTCAGCGAGCATTTGTGGCCAGGAAAGAGGTAAGCCCTTCTGCCTAAAGAAAGATTTTTGCTTAATCTTCTAACTTCATGATCTAGATTTCATAAAACAGTTTTGAAAAAATTTTCTGTTTCTACAGAAACTCAAACAGAAGAATCAACAGCTGAAGCAAATTATGGATCAATTACGAAATCTCATCTGGGATATAAATGCCATGTTGGCAATGAGGAACTAAACTGATATATAAATTTCGTGCTTTCCACATGTTACACCAATTTCTCCCTCAAGTACTTTTTTCTCTTTGCAAAAGATTATCTGCTTTTGTTCTAGTCACTGGAATTAAATTCCCTATTTTTACTTTAAAATAAAAATTAATTTGCAAGTTTTTTTTCCCAATGATTCTGTGAAAGATTATTGTAATAGACTTTCACGGGGTTTTGGTTATTCTTCACAAATTGTCTTTTAAAAGCAAAATTAAGTGTTGTAAATAAATTTTTCAACTTGGTTAGTGCTGGTTTTGCTCATTTCATTACCACTCAAGAAAATGAAAGGTTTAAATATTTTTGGGTGAAAAATGAAACAGATGAACAATTGCACTTGAACTTTTTAAACTCCGTGTCCCAAACAAGTTAAAAATAAGAAAAGTTAATTTTTATAATGCTGAAGTAGATGAAAATTATTTTATCATGTTCAAGTGTTTGGCTTCAATCGGAATGATCTGCCTTTTTAAAAAAGTTTGAGGACAGAACAAATTGAAATAACTGCTTGCTACTTCAGTAATCCAAGAAGCAAGTCTTTATCTGGTTTTTCACATGTACCCTAAAATAAACGAATGCATCTTGCAAACAGTTAAGCTTTTAAGCATTTAAAATGAGATGGTTCTGTATGGCAAATGATTTCAGTTAAGTCCTTTATAGGTCTGCCGGTATCTGGTCTCTTGGGATTATAAAATAATGGATTTTCAAATCAAAATTAAATTCAAGAAAGAATTTTTAAACCTGATTCAGAATCCCCTAGCTGGTCTGGGTTCTATTTTTTAAAAAATAGTTATTTGACTTCTCATATGGTTACACAAAAAACTGGTAATCAGTTTTGGGGGGGCCGGGTGGGGACCAGGTTCAAAGTTGAGGTTCCAAATATAAAGTGCTTATTTTTCACTGTATTTTTATCTTATAGCATGTGCAAATACTGCCTATTCAAAAAATAGGTAACATTTCATTGTAAGTTATGAATATCCCCACCTAGAACTAGCAGAAGCATAAAATCCACCAATCCATATGGGCATCTTTAGAGCTAACTGAATTTGTCAAGGTAAGTTCTAAGATACTTACAAATCATATATCTCAAGGTGTTCATGTCCGAAATATGTAGAGAATTCACAACTCCTCAATAAGAGACAATCAAAAAATGAGCAGATAATCCGAATAGACAGGGGCGACATACAGAGAGCCAGCAGACACAAGATGATCATCTCTGATTAGGGAAACACAAGTCAAGACAACAAAAAACTATCACTTCACACCTGTGAGATTTTTCTTTTGGAGAAGAGCCAGTGTTGGAGAGATGTGGAAAGGAACCTTGTACATGGGTCCAGCCATTATAGAAAGCAGTATGGTAATTCCTCAAAAAATGAAAAATAGAAATACCATACAATCCAGTTAGTCCGCTTTTTACCCAGAGATTAGGAATACACCAATTTGAAGAGATAGTCACCCCAGATATTCGTTGCAGCATTAATTACAATATCCAAGAGTTGAAAACAACCAAAGTATCCATCAACACATGACTGGATAAAGAAATTCCCTTATTTTACACAATGGAATCCTGCCATTTGCAACAAGAGTGGACCTACCGTTCATTATATTTGGTGATACACAAATACCATGATTTCACTCATTGGTACAGAAAGAAAACTAAGAAAGGAACCAAGTTAAAAAATAAAATTTTAGATTATAAGAAACTGGTGGTTACCAGAAGGGGAGGAAAGTTGGTCAGTCGGGTAAAAGGGGTCACTCATGGTGAAGGATAAGAGTGTGACTTTATGAATTTAAAGTAGTCTATGGCAATGATTTATAATGTTGCACACCTGAAGCTAACATGTTAGTGTTACTTCAATTAAAAAAAACAAACAGTAAGGCAAAAGCAAGTTCTGCACAAGACAATGTTAGTTGGATGGGGATTGAGTTGGTTCACAATGGACAGCCCTAAAGTTACAAAGCAGAATATGAAGCTTTATGTAGCCGGAATGGAGAATAGGACCTAACACTCAGCCGCCCCTGTATTCTGTAACTTCCAAATGTGGTAGTTTATTGAGCTACCACCAGGTGAGCAAGCAGCATATTTACAGGTGTTCCATATTAATATGTTCTTTGCATGGTAGGTTCCTGGTTACTATTATGAATTTAGTGCTTCACTATTGATTTCTAATTCTGAAAGTTATTTAAAAACTTTTAAGCATTTTTTTTGTGTGTGGTTTTACTTTTCCCACTTAACTCCTTAGATCATTCAAAGTGCCACAAAATCAGTTCTTGGAGGGCTTGAGGAAATTGCATCCTTTGAGCTGTTGTCCTAGAGAGAATCTATCCTGTGAAGCAGCAACACTCAACTACAGAACTGTGGTTAACAGAAGGGGAGGATATTTTCCAAATTCTGGGAGGATATTTTCTTAGCCCAGAAAGCCAACACCAGTTTACCTAGTCACTCACATTCTACCTGGGACCAATTATGAATGTGTGGGGGTTATTAAACACAGACACCACTAACACTCAAACTTCCAGCTTTTTCTTGAGGGAGAATATGCCAGTAACTTGAAGAGCAAAGAAAGGTAATTCAAATAATGTGTGGCCTTGAGCAAGTTAAATCTCAGTTTGCTTGTCTGTAAAATGAGAAGTGGGATTAGTTGATCTGATATTCTACGTGAGAATTTTAACTGCAGATGTTAGAAACCCATTCAAAATGGCTTTACCCAAGAAGGGGGTTGATTAGTTCCTGGAGCAAGAAAGGATACCAGAGAAGAGCGCACAGAATCAAGGGGAGCTGCAGGGCCTGAGTCAGTGTCCCAGGATTCTGTGTGCCCACCCCTAATTTTGCTTCTTTCCACTCATAACTGCACAAAGGCTTTCCTCAATGAGGGGAAAGATGACCTGCCACCGGCTTACCCTTACATCTTTTCCATGCTCTCTCCCCCGCGTTGGGGCTGCTGCTTTTCCCAGTCTAAATTGCTAACTCAAAAGAACCTTTATTAGCACAGCTTGGGTCATATAACCAGCCTTTGGACCAGCTGTGTAAATGAGCACTTTGATGAGATTGACCCAGGTTACAGGCCCTCCCTGTGGCCAGGAATTGGGTGTGGAATTCATGGAGAAGTTACTGAGCGAGAGAGAAATATTTAAAAAAGGGGAAAAAAAAAAAAGAGGGGGTCAGCAACCGGGAAAATTCGCAAGAAAAGTCAACAGTGGTCAGCCACCACTCTTCACTGATACATTCTTCCTTGGTTATGATACTGTCAGATGTAATAGGAGTATTCAACTCTCAAAAGCCCTAGTTAAGTTTACAGGATAACAAATGCATCAGTGACTGTCTTGAGAAAATTGTTTAAACTGTGGACTTGTGTGGGCATTTTTTCTTTGCAGCTGTTTCCTTTCTTTGCAGCTGTTTTAATTAATTAAAATATGATTTTTGTCGAGTTTTGGTTAGTCTGGCCTAAAACACAGATAGGAAAGAGCTAAAAGCAAAACAAAAATGAAAGCACCAGCATCCCGTAATGACATTATCTTTAAAACAATTTGGAAACCCAAGGCTCTGATCATGCAGACACAAGATCCCTTGGCACCATTACAAACCAAAATGTGTTAACTTGACATTTTGATGTAGTTACAGTTTAAGTAATTCATTTTCTTTCCTTAAATTCCCAAGGAAGTTTAAGCTAGATCGAGGAGTCTTCCAAAGTAAAATGCGTGCTGATCTTCAAGCTCAAAAGAATTGTTTTAATTTTGTTTATTCCTTGTCCAACATAACTGGATACCTTCACATTTCTTTTTATTTTTTAGAACATTCATAGAGCCCAGACTGAATTTTTTTTTTTTTTTAATAAAGATCTATTTATTTATACATACAAGCACTGGGTATAGTCAGAGGCGCGGGAGGGTGAGAGAATTCACCAGAGCCAGAGTGGAGAGCAGAACAGGCAGAGTGCCGAAGTACAATGCTGAGGGGAGCAATGGGTGGCAGGAGAGGTCTGCGTGCCATGTGGGACCCTCGCCCAGCGGCCGGGGATTGAACCAGCACTGCAGAGGCTGTGGGCAGCTTCCCAACCCAGCGCTCAACCGCTGTGCCACTGGGGAGGCCCCCAGACTGAATTGTTTTAAGCTTCAAGTATTGTAGGTGTATTTTTGTAAACACGGTTAAAATCTTAAACTCTAAAGATATTTAAAGATTTCGACAGTTAAGTATTTTTTGTTTGTTTTTATGTAAGGTTGACAACTAGGCTCTAATGCATTCACATCAGTAAATATACTGACATATTGATGATTCACACTTGTTATTCAGCAATTCTTACTGTTGTAAATATATAATTTGAATTCCAAAAACTAATGAAAATTCACAAATATAAGCCTGTTGTTTTTTTTTCAGAGGTCTTAATCTTCCCTGACATGTGATGACAACATACCAAGTAGTGTGCTCTTAGAACTAATCCTGCTGCCGTTTTCAGATACCTTTATAGGGTGTACCTTTTCAACTTTAGCGTGCATACAAAACATTTGGTACACCTTGAAAAATGCATATTTTTTGGGAATTAGCACACATGTATCAAATCAGAATTTCTGAAATTGGGTCTAAAAGTCTGCATATTCAATAAGTTTTCACTGACACTGAAAAATATTCTAAGTTTAGTGATACTGTTTGTCAGTATGAAAAACTTAAAAATAGCAATGATATAAAATAATAGCATGCCATATTTAGAGTTCTGACCTTTTGAGTATTTAAAAATACTACAGGGCCTCCCCTGGTGGCGCGGCGGTTGAGCGCTGGATTGCGAGGCTGCCCGCAGCCTCTGCAGTGCCAGTTCGATCCCCGGCCACTGGCGAGGGTCCCACAAAAAATAAATAAATAAAAATACCACAGTGTACAGCAGTTATCCACTGCGGCTGCACATTATTATCAACAGGGAAATGTTAAAATCCCCTATGATGAAGCCACACCCCAGACCAATTAAATCAGAATTCTGGGATGGGATCCAGGCAGCAACGTGTTTTAAAGCTCCCCAGGTGATTCCAATGTGCAGTTGGGATAAGAACCATCACTCTACAAAGATTTATAGGCATGAAAAGAATCTTGAGGGATTTATTTTAAGAGCAATGGTTAAGTATTTCAAATAAAGAACTTCAGGGCAACAAAATCCTAAAACTTACCTATGTCCAAATGTATATTTTGAAGACCACTTAGTCAAACATCTGCACTCTTGGACAGCAGAGACTTGTCACTCTCACCGTCCACAGTCACA